TAAGCTAATATCGTTTCTCTGAGAAAACAAACAAACAAACAAACAAACAAACAAGCAACTTCTATGTTCACCAAATAAGAATAAAATATTGCAATGCTCACTATAGTCATGCTTTTGCTCGTGCTTTTGCTCTCGAAAATTTTTACGGATTTGAGAAGTAAAAAAAAATATGCATTTACTGGAACCTTAAACTCCACGCTAGAGAACATGCACGGGTTTGAAATTTTTTTCTCATCAGAACGTGGATCACCGTACATGTATTACTTGACTTTTTTAAAACTGAATTGTTCGATTTAGTTTAGATCCACTGATTAACACATGCGTAGGAACATCGGCAGCAGCATCTGAAATGTATCCTTGAATATTCTCAGCTAGTCCAAACACTTGCCACACCCTGTCAGATCAATGCAAATAAGATCATGCATTAGTTTTTATTTTTACCTTTACACGTTATTGTACGATCCATTGCATAATAAGAATTTTCACGACTACCCATTCAAATGGTCAAAATTTTGCTTCGCGACCATGTAGGGATCCATATACTTCGTTTCTATTGTGACACTGCTTGTCTGTAGAGGAAATTCAGCTCCTTCCCATTTCACAACTGAGTTGCCAGGAAAAATGAAGGTAAAATGTAACCCTTTTTTTAAACTAGGAGATATCAGGAAACCCGAATGTGCAATGAAAACGCAAATTTCTAAAACTGGGTTGTCTCGCTTTGGAGATAATAACCGATCACAATTCAGTTTTGGTCATGTCACGTGACGTTTAACGTGTAATTATAACGCCTGATATTGAAAGAAATAGTCTACCGGGTTAATGAAAGGTTTCCTTTTTAAGTAAAATGTCACTTATCTATTCATTAATTTCATTTAGCATCTACCTTAGGGTATCCTGTCTTTGACTCGCATCAAAATATTCTCTGAAAGCTGTAGGGCCTGCTCAGCCATCTGGGCCGAGTAAACTTCGTTTGGGATCTTGGGGAAGGACACCTGATCTGGATAACGCATGCGCGCGGAACTAAGAACAAGTCTCTCTAGACTACATGCTAAGTCGGTTAATTGGGAGTCATTTAAACCATCGCAGTTCTGATCCAAGTTGTGGACACTAGTCTTGTCAGCATCTATTGTGTATTGAGCCGCCTTTAGTGCCTTCTCTGCTGCCTATAGGAGAACAAATCCATACAAAGTATTCAACGGAGGCACTGGTTACCAATTCTATTCACGGAGATGTTAGCTGTACTTGAACATATAATAAACAATGTTTTGTAAAGGCGGTTGAAGAGAGAACACTTTCGCACATTCATTCTTTTTTTTTTCTAACACGATAACTGCCTGGCTAATACTTCAAGTAAGAATTGATTCATTTCGCGGTCTTTTATTCTCGATCCAACTTGTTGCCTTTCAGTGGTATATTTCTTTTGTACATGAAAGTAACAAAGATTGATCAAATGGCAAGCAAAGTACATATCAATTATTTTAAAAAAAAACTTAAGAATGGGAAATTCCGAAGTTGAGTTTTTATAGCCTTATGAATATCATTGCGGGTCTCTTAAATAAGTCTAAAATGATCTTTACCGGCAAATTAACCAAACAAAGCCTTTCTTACCTGATGGCATTTAAAGCATACCCACTCAAAAGAAGGCCTTCTGGAATCAATTTCATTTGTACCGGCTGCAAGGTCAGCTTCAGCCTGTCTGAACCAACGCTTAGCCTCTTCAGGCTGCGGATTTCTAAGGCAGAACCTTGGAGGAATGTGACGTGATGACGATTCCAAGGAAACGTCCAAATTAGCGAGTCTTTCTTTGTACTCCTCACGCCGCGTGCCATGCTCTATTGCACGTGTTACCCAAGCATCAATATATTCGTCGTAAGAGCCACCCAGTTGCGAGATTGTATTCTTGATGTGCTCAAACGCCTCTGAGCAGAATTCTTCATCTCCCAAGTTCTTCTCTGGGTGCCAACGTAGAATTAGCCGCTTCACGATTTGTCGTTTTTGTTCTTCTGGTAGTCTCCATGCATCCTCCAGTTGCTCTGAAATCTCTCCAAAAATCGCCTCTTTGTTTCTGTTTCTGGGGCGTTCTTTCTCCCTTTCAGATATATCTTGTATACGGTGGAATTTGTACAAGACGGCAGCATTGACCTCAATCGGTTCTTTGTCGTATCCAATGTTGATTTGGTACATCTTTGTCAAGAGGATAGCATCTTCATCCATCACTTCGACCTCCTTGATAATCACAGCGTAGATGTACGTAGCGACCCCTTCCTCGAGTTGGAGACTCGGGTCATGTAGCTGATAACCCACATATTCCCCAGGTTCAAATTCCAAAAAGGCGTCATTCAGCAGATGATGCTCCTCGATTGGAATAAAGCCACCTGGCTCTGCATAAATGCCCATATCTGTTCCATCATAGGTGTCATCTCGTCGAATGCGCCTCCTATCCAGTAGAGGCCATATGTCACCAAGCGGACAATGCAACATCTCAGGAATTAGTACCATTTTCTTTCCCAGAAGCTCACCATAAATCTCTTCAATTACCTGGGCTATCAAGGAGGCAGCGTTGCTCATTCCTGTTACAGAATTCAAATACACCTTTAACTTTTCCTTGCCAGACACCACAACTTTCTCTTGAAAGAATGGTACATCTTCCTCACTTCCGGAAATGAGTTGACCGTTGTGAAAGAGTGAGGTTTTAAGGCTTTCTACGGCACAAAGCTCTATGTTTCGAAGACCATATTCAATATCAGCGGCTATTCCTTCATCAAATTGCTTCTTCTGCGAGTCAACGTGTCGAACAATTCTGATAATGCCCTGTACAAATTGAGCAGACAAAAGCCTCGTCGTCAATGCACTGACAGCCCCACTTGTCACTATTGCACCGTCGGTGAGTTTTTCTTTTACCACAGAGGACAGCATCACTGGTTGTAAAGGTGTAGGCAATTTCATCATTAGCTCTTCGTAGTTTGTCATGGCAGATTTTGGTCTGGCATCCAGCAGGCTAAGCTCAAGCACAAAACGTATGTTGAGCCTCGCGATCCTTGGTCCGTAAGCAGGTACATCATCGAAAACCAGCTCGGTGGACTTGTGCAAAGTCATAGGGATTTTTTTCAGAGGCTTATCAGAGGAGCGCGTTTCTGGAAACTTTGGTGGTAGGTACAGATATTCAGGAAACGTCGCTGGTAAGTACAGATTACATACTGCTGACGCTTCAACAGGATCGTCTTGAAGCCTTGCAAAGAAACCTTTCACTGCCTTGGAACACATTCTTATTTCATTTTGGTGCAATTTGTCATCCCGGCTACTTTCCTGCAACATCTCCAAAACCATGGCATAATGGGTAGCTCGAACAGCCTTGGAACAGCCCAGGTACTCAAACAATCGCTGAAACTTGCCAAATTCGGGGGGAATTTTGTATAGATATGGCTTAATCTCAAGACTTTCNGGTGTCTTTGTCGATCAGCAGAATTGGGCAAAAACGTTTTCATAACCATATATTTAACCAATAATTTGCACGGGTTCGCTTATTCTTTAAATTTAACTTATTTTAGGTATATTTTAATATAACTAAAATGCGTTAAATCTAGAATACGTTAAATTTAAGTCCAAACATATACCCCTTGGATTTTGCTCTGTAAGATCGTTGGAGGTGGGAGGTTACCACTTCCCTTGCACTGCATAGAATATACCTCTGAACTGGGATTTTAGCAAAAATACTTGACGACTGACGGATTTGGCTAGAAATTGGGACTGATTTTCATAGCCTACCCCTACTAAACCCGCCTGACTTCCCTAAAACAAACAAGCACCGTTTCATTTTAATAACCGGCGTATTGAACGATATACACCACCTGGAATAATTTTGTTGGAGTAATTTGCACGTTGACTATTAACGTTGCCAACATTAACCTTCCTGACAAAAAGGAGCATTCTACTGATCTGGAACAAGACTCACTAAGGGCCTCTTCATATGAGCCCGGTAACCGGGCTGGCTCGGTTATCGAGACGAATTTTGTTATCTGTTCATATGGGAAATTTAAGCCCGGTCTGCCGGGATGAAATCCAAGAAACACAACCAAAATGGTGGAACATAACCTTGTATCGTTCGCGGCCGTCGTAGCTTTGTGGACTCTTTTAACTTTACTAATAAAGCTAATTCGAATACTCCTTAATTGGAAATATATACGAGACAAAAATTATGCCATTTTGGCCACTATGTTGCGAAAGCGAAGCTCTTTTGTCTAAAAAAAAAAAACCGAGCCAACCCGGAGCCAGCTCGGTTGACCGGGCTCATCTGAAGAGGCCCTAAGGGCCTCTTCAGATGAACCCGGTCAACCGGGCTGGCTCGGTTTCCGAGATCTCGCCTAGCCACTCTTTCCTTCGTAAAAATTTCGACGTGTTCATATGAGAAGCCGGGCTGGCCCGGTTACCGAGATCTCGGATTTTGTGACTAAGATCTCGGTAACCGGGATGAAAATTTTCCCATATGAACACTCCAGCCCAGGTGACCAGGACGAAACAAACAAGCTTCGCTTTCGCAACATAGCGGCCAAAATGGCCTAATTTTTGTCTCGTATGAATTTCCACTTCAAATGTATGCGAATTATTTACATTAAAAAAGTCCACAGAGCTGCGACAGTCGCGAACGATACAAGTTTATGTTCCACCATTTTGGTTTTGTTTCTTGAATTTCATTCCGGTCGACCGGGCTGAAATTTCCCATATGACCTGAAATTCGTCCCGGTAACCGAACCAGCCCGGTTACCGGGCTCATATGAAGAGACCCTAAGAAGTGCTGGGTGCTGGGTGGTCATACTGAAGGGAGAGAGAGGGACAGTCGTAGAGCCTCTTGAATATTGTAGGCTCTAAAATCATATTAGAAACATATGCATTAAAAGTATAATTTGGTATTTTGGTTCCATCTGGGCCTCTCTCCTACCTTCCACCCGTCCCCTCCCTATTAGCAAGCTTTCTACCGTTTAGACTCAAGGAAGAACGCCAACTAAAGTCATGGTTTTATTGGGGTTTTTTTTGCCTGCGTTGCTGTAACAACCAACCAACTAATTAGGCCTATTTCAATGTACCCATCTCTGCAATCGTTAAATGCTATCGAGCTTTTAGTATTAATAGTATTAATTACTAACAGGAATTAGGACTTCACTTTTTAAACTACAAAAACACAACCTTTTAGTAAAAAAACCTTTTTGTAGGAAAAAATGATTTAAACAATCCGAACTTTTACTACAGGCTACACAGTTTCCTTGTTCTAAAAATAGCCTAAATGGTGTTCACTAACTTGGAAGCATCAAAGTCATCGAATTAACTTTGCCCTGTATTTTAACGACATAGCGATAAAATGATTACAACACCACTCAAAAACGAAAAAGAAACTATGCGGATCTCCGAAACATCCACTAACATAAAAGCTATTTCTACTTTAAAATTCAAAAATTATACCATGTTCTGTGGCGTACCTCTCTCTAATTTTTAACTACCGTTTCCTCTGTTTGACTGGTATGTATTTTGAGCATGTGCCTTAATTCTGTAACTTTTGCATTTACATTTTATTCCATGTATTCTGAAATATTAATTACTCTTTATATCCTACTAACAAATAGCAAAAGACTCGTGTTTTAAACCAGGAAGAACTTTCAATTTGTAACTGACTTGAAATTAAGAATACAATCCAGCTACTAAGAATGCTAAAGGCTTGCTAAAGGTCTGTGATTCAAAGGATGCCCAAGAACACGTTCAAAACTGCGCCTTCTTGCTGGCGAACAAGCTTGAAAAAAAAAAAAGAACGAAAAGAAAAACAAAATGCAACAACTAACAAACTGTAGTATTTCCCCGATGCCACTGTCAATATGGGAACGTCTCCTATTTGCCTGCATTGACACAAGGTCTGTTAAAGGCAAGCTTTCTTTGTTCTCTTTACCGTTACAAAATATCTGAAGCTAAGCTATGCTCCTCTCTATGAAAGAAAGCTATGTATTGTAATAATATTGACTGGAGTCATGTCTTTACACTTTGGCTAATATTTGAAAACCTAGAGCGAAGGTTTTTACAGATTTAAGAAGTAATAGAAGGACACGTACTAGAACCGTAAACTCTACGCTAGAGAACATGCACGGGTTTGGATGTTTCCCCATCAGCACTTCTTGAAACATGGATCACTCTACATACATTACTTGACGTTTTGAAAACTGAATTGTTCAATTAAATGTACAGCTACTGATGAACACGTGCATAGGAACTTTGGCAGTAACATCTGAAATGCATCAATCGTTGCACATTCTCAGTCCAAACACTTGCCACACCCTGTCAAATGCAGTTCATACCATACATTAGTCTTTATCTTTACCTTTACACCCGGAGTTATCATATGATCCATTGCCTAATACGAATTAGGCGACCATGTAGCGATCCATATACTTTACTTCTATTGTGACATTGTTTGTCTGTATGCGAAATTCAGCTCCTTTCGATTTAACAATTGACTTGCGAGGAAAAATGAAAGTCAAATGCAAAGGCATTTTCTTAAACAAGGATATATCAGGAAACCTGAATGTGCAATGAAAACACAAATTTCTAAAACTTTGTTATCTCGCTTTGGGGATAATATTCGATTACAATTCAGTTTTGGCCATGTCACGTGAAGTTCTACGTGTAATTATAACCCTGACAATGAAAGAAGTAGTCTACCCGATTAATAAAACGTTATTTAGTTTTGGTAAAATATCGCTTATCTAGTCATTAATCTAATTTAGCATCTACCTTAGGGTATTCTGTCTTTGACCCGCATCAAGATATTCTCTGAAAGCTGGAATGCCTGGTCAGCCATCTGGGCCGAGTAAACTTCGTTTGGGATCTTGGGGAAGGACACCTGATCTGGATAACGCATGCGAGCCGAACGAACAACAAGTGTCTCCAAACCGCTGGCAAAGCTGATTAACTCGGAATCATTCAAACCACTGCAATTCTGAACCAAGTTGTGATCACTAGTCTTGTCAGCATGTATCATGTACTGAGCCGCCTTTAATGCCTTCTCTGCTGCCTACAGGAGAACAAATTAATGCAACGTATTCCACAGAGGCACTGGTTACTATTCTCGAAGACTCTAGCTGTACTTAAATATCTTACAAACATTGCCATGTATGAGCAGTTGAAGAAAAAACACTTTCCGTCATTCTTTCTCTTTTTTTCTGCCAAATTACTGCCCGGCTAATAATGCTTATAAGAATTGCGTCGCAGGTTTGGTTCGCTTTTTTGCGGTCTTTTTTTCTATCCAACTTCTTGCCCCTCAGTTATATATTTTGTTTGTACATGAAAGGAAAAACGATTGATCAACTGGCAAGCACAGTATAGGTATGTAATCCCAAAGTTAACTTTTCATAGCCTTATAAATATTACTGCGAGACATTTACAAAAGTCAATAATTATCTTTACCTGATGGCATTTAAAGCATGCCCACTCATAAGAAGGCCTGCTGGAATCAATTTCATTTGCACCGGCTGCAAGGTCAGCTTCCGCCTGTCTGAACCAACGCTTAGCCTCTTCAGGCTGAGGATTTCTAATGCAGAACCTTGGAGGCATGTGACATGATGACGATTCCCAGGACCTGTCCGAATTGGCGAGTCTTTCTCTGTACTCCTCACGCCGTGTGCCATGTTCTATTGCACGTGTTACCCAAGCATCAATATAGTCGTCGTAAGAGCCACCCAGTTGCGAGATTGCATTCTTGATGTGCTCAAACGCCTCTGAGCAGAATTCTTCATCTCCCAAGTTCTTCTCTGGATGCCAACGTAGAATTAGCCGCTTCACGATTTGTCGCTTTTGTTCTTCTGGTAGTCTCCATGCATCCTTCAGTTGCCCTGAAATCTCTTGAAAAATCACCTCTCTGTTTCTGTTTCTGGGGCGTTCTTTTTCCCGTTCAGATATATCTTGTATACGGTGGAATTTGTGCAAGACGGCAGCATTGACCTCAATTGGTTCTCTGTCGAATCCAATGTTGATTTGGTACATCTTTGTCAAGAGAATGGCATCTTCATCGATCACTTCGACCTCCTTGATAATGATAGCGTAGATGTACGTGGCGACTCCTTCCCCAAGTTGAAGACTCGGGTCATGCAGCTGATAACCTACATATTCCCCAGGTTCAAATTCCAAAAAGGCGTCATTCAGCAGATGATGCTCCTCGATTGGAATGAAGCCACCTGGCTCTGCATAAATGCCTATTTCTGATCCATCATAAGTGTCATCTCGTCGAATGCGCCTACTGTTCAGTAGAAGCCATATGTCACCAAGCGGACAACGCAGCATCTCAGGAATTAGTACCATTTTCTTTCCCAGACGCTCACCATAAATCTCTTCAATTACCTGGGACGTAGCCGAAATAGCGTCGCTCATTCCTGTTACAGAATTCAAATACACCTTCAACTTTTCCTTGCCAGACGCCACAACTTTCTCTTGAAGATATGGTACATAATCCTCACTTCCGGGAATGAGTTGACCGTTGTGAAAGAGTGAGGTTTTAAGGCTTTCTACTGCGCAAAGCTCTATGTTTCGAAGACCATTTTCAATATCAGCGGCTATTCCTTCATCAAATTGCTTCTTCTGCGAGTCAACGTGTCGAATAATTCTGACAATGCCCCGAACAAATTGAGCAGACAAAAGCCGCGTCATCAATGCATTGACAGCTCCACTTGTCACTATTACACCGTCGGTGAGTTTTTCTTTTACCACAGAGGACAGCGTCACTGGTTGTAAAGGTACAGGCAATTTCATCATTAGCTCTTCGTAGTTTGTCATGGCAGATGTTGGTCTGACATCCAGCAGGCTGAGCTCAAGCACAAAACGTATGTTGAGCCTCGCGATCCTTGGTCCGTAGGCAGGTACATCATTGAAAACCAGCTCAGTGGACTTGTGCAAAGTCACAGGGATTTGTTTCAGAGGCTTATCAGAGGAGCCGGTTTCTGGAAACTTTGCTGGTAGGTACAGATATTCAGGAAACGTCGCTGGTAAGTACAGATTACATATTGCTGACGCTTCATCGGGATGGTCTTGAAGCCTTGCCAAGAAACCTTTCACCGCCTTGGAACACATTCTTAATTCATTTTGGTGCAAGTTGTCATTCCGGCTACTTTCCCGCAACATCTCCAAAACCATAGCATAATGGGTAGCTCCAACAGCCTTGGAACAGCCCAGGTACCCAAACAATCGCTGAAACTTGCCAAAGTCGGGGGGAATTTTGTATAGATATGGCTTAATCTCAAGACTTTCGTACAACTCAAGGACTGCCTGACTGGGCAAAATGAACCTCCTTCCTTCTTCAACTAAAATGCAAGGAGTAGTTTCCAGAACCCTTTTGGCTTCATTGCCTGTGGTCGCGTTGTCTTGCAGAAAGGCGTAAATACTTTCCATGACCGCCTTAACCGCGGAGCATTGCTCACGTGAAGCAGTTTCTATCTTGCTTTTACGTTCAAAATGGATGCAAATGTTTTCGCAATGACTAACTACAAGATTTACCGATGGCTTCTTCACAATTTGGAGCTGGGCGAGAAAAGAATTGCAGTACTGCTCGATGTTGACACCATGAGGACGATCAAATTCGTATTGACGAGACCTTGGATCTGCCCACCCTGGAAGCAAGTGTGCTTTCGTCCATACGATGTCTTCGTAATCCTTGAAAACTGCCCCTTTGAATGCAATGAAGGGAACTTCGCCATCCATTGTTGCGCCTAAAGCTCGACAGACTGTTAGCAGTGGTTCTGTAACAGGGTCTGCAGCTACGAAGGGAATATCACAGACCATTTGTAAAAGACCTTCACCCACTACATTGGGTCGAGAGATTAGGTGATCCACCAGAATACGTGACCTCGTGAATGTATTCTTATTTCGCTTTGTGGCAGCTTCGTGTGCAACTTCTGTAGCAAATCTCTGAAAATCATCTTTAGAAACATTCTGCACCAGGCCTATCATTTCCAAAAAGGGCAACCATTCTTCTGAAGCGAAAGGGTCTGGTGGAAACTCGTCCTCTGTTAGCATGGACTTGAAAACAGGATTTCGGGGATCACAGAAACTCGACGTAGTCATCAACGTGCCGTCCTTGTTTGGAATTAACTTTACTGTTTTCAAATAATCTAACAGCTTTTGCCTCCCGATTTCTCTTTCATTTTTCTGTTTTGAACTTCCTGAATAATGAAATTGGCAAATATATCTGATATGAGCCAATGTTCCTTCTTCACTGAAATACGGAAAACATTTGAAAACAAACTCGAGATACGCTTCAACAGGAGAGACACTTTCAACGTCCAAGAATTCATAAAGATCTGACAGGCTTGAGTTGGATTTCAAAAACAAACAGTCAAGAACTGATTCCACAACATCCATCTCTTCTTCGGGTAATTCATCAGGTATAATACACGATTTTCTCTCCTCGAGTTTTGCAAGACCACCTCTTGCTGTGGGGTAAAATGGCAGCTTCCTCAAGATTTCTTTGTCAACATCTGTGAGACTTTGCACGTTCCGGTTAAAGTACTCTAGGACAACTGTTGCATGTGAGGGCTGTAATTTCCCCTCAAGGGAAAGAGGATCCGTTTCTAGAGCCTGTTTGAGTGCTGTAAGAAGGGACTTTGGTGTCTTGAGAGAGGCTACGAGATTACGTACGAACTGGTACGAATCTGGTTTGGTGTAAGGTGTGGTAAGCAAGTATATTGTTGTAATTACTACTGAATTAACCTTTGGTAAGCCCAAAGATCCTACAATAGTAGCCAGATTCCGATCTGAGATACCACAGTCAGAAAAGTCAAGAACAGTTTCAGCCATACCAAGCGGCACCAAGAAATGATCTGTCAATGTTCGTTTGTTCACAACAGTCTTTGAAGAAAAAGATGTGGAGGATCTTTCCACGTGGATCGTTTTCGTTGCGGGAAGAAGGCACCATTTAGATAGTGGCGAAAGCAGCGTACGAATGAATTCTTCTTTACAGTCCTCAGTTATCTCTGCTTTAGTCATTGCATCGTTGACAAACTCTTGCAAGAAGCTCCAAACCCTATAGATCCACTGGTGATTAGGCAAGGTGGCAGATGGGTCATCTGGGCACCATTTCACATAGTGATCTTCGCTAATGTAGCTGTACGGTAGGGTTTCGTGTAACAACGAGGCGAACATTTGTACATCCAAAGGTCGAAAAACGGGGGACTTTACGCATTCAGGGCTGCTAAAAATGTCGCTACGGACTTCTCTGTGAACAAAAATGGACGGGGAACAGGGAAAAATATTTTGGTAGCGACTCAGACATCGGGGATTACTTTCGCTAAAGGCATTCAAGTTGTTGTCCTCAGTAAGAAGCAGTGGAAGTCCAGAGAGATTCTTCAAAAAATGGTCATCGTCTTTGCAGTACTTGAGGACACGGATCACTCCTTGCTCGTTTTTGAATGGCGTCTTGTTCACAGGGCATGGAATCTTTCCAACATGGCAAAGCGGATCAGGATCACTAAAAGATTTGTAGAAATCCATAACTGCAGTAGGTGAAAGACAAACCACTTCCACTTCTGCCTTCTTGAGTGACTCGAAAGTGGTCATTGAAAATGCGACAAGTTTTAAATCAGTCTCGAGCAAGGTTTCTTCAAATTTGGACTTCCGCTTGATTCTTCCCTCTTCTCTTCTTTTTCTTTCTTCTTTCTCTTCTTTGCTTTCGAGGCCAAATTTTGGGGGTTTCGCTGCAAAACAGCCTTTTATTTCGAGATTGTTGAAGTAGATTTTATCTTTACCGGTACCTGACAATGGAAACCACTCTACCTGTACTCTCTCAGAACCGTAGGATTCCTCACGGCGGCGGCTAGAATTCTCCTCCGCTTTCCTCACTAGTGGGATCAAGCGCATCCCCTTTTTGCTCATCACTTGGTAGACTGCCTCAACCAATGTCTTCCAATACGTATCTTCTATGGGTAACCTTGGAAAGAGCTCCTCATATGTACTTAACTTTCGTAAAGTCGTACTTCTACAATTACTGCGAGATTCAGAACGAGATTCAGCACGATCCTGTACGATAGGCAAATGGAGGAAAGCGCGAACTCCGTCTAGAAGGGTCAGATAGCATGACGCAATGACGTCGCGCAACAAGGCATTATTCCAATCAGTCCTATAGTCGCCGGTTACATCTCTCCATAAATTTCTCCTTGCCTCGTGGTCCAAAGCAAAGTGCCCATTGATGTGAACTGGCAAATCAGTTTCAAGTGGAAGTGGAAGAAAGCAGTACGCTTTCTTCTTCCTTTCTCGCTGCTCCCTTGAGTTTGTACTCTCCAGAAGGCACGCAACACCACCTCGAGGAAGCATCCCCAGCTTTTGTTTCCTAAAAGCATCGACAACACTCTTGTCCACCGCTTCCTTAAAGCCAACCTGTTGGACAATCAACCATGTTTCCTCTCTGCCGAATGAATCTCTCAACTTCATAGTATACAGACACTTTTGGACATTTACGCTTGTGGGTAGGGAATTGTTGCTCTCTTTCGCACGATTCCCGATCCCTTTGATACAATCAGCGAATGCTTTCCTCTTCTTGTCATCGTCTTCGGACAGAAGCACTTCAACAGAGTATCTGTCCGTCAGCTTCCCTGATGATTCATCTATTCCACAAAGACTAATCTTCTTCACATTGTTAACAAAAAGGAGAATGTCGAACAGCTCCTCCTTCAGGTCTTCCATCATCTCGTCTAATTTCTTCACTGTTACCGCAGCTGACGATATTTCAGAAATTTGTGCCATTTCCTTCGTTCTTAAGGGAAGCCTGAACATTGTTGAGTTCTGGATGGAAAAAAGATCCTCGAGATAACAAGGGAAGACATCTGGGAACTTTCTTCGCATCTTTTCAATATCTTTATACATTCTGCCAGGTTCTTTATCGGTTGCATTCGGGACATACTTGCAATGTGGGTCGAATACAC